TTAATTAATTTGATTAATTTTAATCATGATTAAATTAATCCTGATTAAAATAATCATGATTAAAAAAGTAATCATAATCATGATTAATTTGTTAATCATTAATCAATAATCATTAATTTGATTAATTTGATTAACTTGATTAACTTCTTAAATGTTCTATCGAAAACAATGTTAAAACATTGAATTCTAATATTAGATGTTTGGTTTTAGGCTACAATTCTATGACTGGTCATACCTAGATAAATATAAGGTAACCTAGACTGCCCCCCGCCCCCTTCCCTCGCTGAAACTTCCGGTGCAGTCTTCCGACCTCCCGTAGGAGGATATTATCAGTCCACTTCCCCTACCGTTCCAGCCCAGCCACTTGCAACCCCACACTCCCACCACCTGCCCCCCACCCCTAGCCTCCCCTGAAACTTCTGGTACGAAGTCTCCTGCACCTCCCCAATACGCAAAACCTCCTAGCTTAGCAACCCCACCCTTCTATTGAATTGTCCACGCGTGGGCCTCCCCCCGAAACTTCTGGTACGAAGTCTCCTGCACCTCTCCAACACGCAAAACGGGGGGGGGGACCTCTCCCCTATCGTCAGCCAGCCCGCTTAACTTCTATCCTGACCCAATTCTGCTGGAGGATACCGGAAGAATAGAAGGAATTGTGAGAAACAAAACTAGTGCGATAAGTGTTTTGAGTAGTGAAATTGACGCAGTTTTTTGGGAAAACTCCAGATCCCCCCTTTGCTAGATATTTTATAAGTCGCGGGTACCTTTTCATACACTCCCAACCCTTTTCTTATGAAAATAGTAGATAGTTAATCAAATAATCAAATTAACGATTAATGATTATGATTAATTAATCTTAATCAAAATTTTTGATTAATGATTAACTAATCATAATCAAAAAAATTTGATTATGATTTTAATCATTAATTTTTAATCATTAATCAGATTAACTTTTTGCCAACACTGCGTTACGCAAACTATAAAAGCAAAATTCAAAACAACCGTCGCGTCAGCTGTTTTTATCCGGACAGGACAAAAATGTCAGTATCCCTAAAAAGAAGGGTAGAATACAGGCCAATTTATAAGAACTGGATCACGCCTATATTTTTCGACAAATTTTTAAGCCTTCGAGAGTAAGTACAAGTAATTTGATGGTCGTTTTATATCCAACTAGAGCCTTCAATCCATTTGTTACCACTTGTTTGGCAGAGACAAAATACGAAATGGCCGTGAGAAAATCGGATTTCATTTCTCAACGAATTGCTCTCTACCTTTCATCAAATCTAATTCAGCTCCAAATGAAAGCAAATAAGCTGGATCTAGCTCACGGCGGTATCCGGGTCAAGTGTGACCCGGCCCGGTCAAGAGCAACCGGGCCGGATTTAAGCAGTTGGCGCCGGTTGTCCCGATGCCGCATTATGCATGCACATGTAGAGTTGCATCAGGGGTTAATGCCGGCATTTCTGATGTGCCCGTCCCTAAACTTAACTAATTTTAAACTCATTTGCAAATGAAAATGATTTTATTTTATACAGCTTTTGCCCGCGCGATGTTTCTCAGACAAAGACCGACATACTTGACACTTATCATTGTAATTTGTTCCATTAACTCAATAACGCTACAAGTTATAGCCGAACTGAAATGTGTAACTGACTAACTGTGTACTTTCATCAAAATCCATTCAGCCGTTTTTGTGTTAAAGAGTAACAGACAACCATTCTCACAGTTTTAAATTTATATAATATTAGTAGGATTTTTATTTTTCTCTACAATTTCAACGCATTGACAATGCTCAAGTTCCTGTTTCGCTTCGCAGAATTTTTTAAAAAGTTGAGCAGTTTCCACAGAAGAATCTTTGTTGAATTTTAAAACTATTTGTTACATTGAAAACAAAAAAGCACTGTCGGTAAATCATATAAAACTTGGCAAGTTATTAATCAGCTGAACTGACAGTGGCTGAATAATGCAGCGCCAGCGGACTTCTAGCTCGCTTTTTTGTCGCCAGTCCAAGGTACCACTCTAATGAAACCTATTACGAACTTTCAGACTTGATTTAGTATTGAAAGCGAGCTGGAAACTCTGTCTAATTACAGATAAGGTGTCTGTAAGGAAGCAGTGACATGCTTGCTTGTCATCATTCATTTCATATACAAACCCTCCTTTTAATAATACTTTATGATTCATTAATCAATGTTTTCGATCTTCTTTTATAAGTTCTGTTCCTTAATATTGATGGTGGAATTATCGAGCTTTGGATAGGTACCAAGGGACCCAAATAATATGATGAACAACACTCTTCTTTTGTGACGCTATAAGATGTGTTTCCCGCACCAAAGCCCCTAATTTTTTTGGGAATTGCAAGATCAAGATAAATAAACCTAGGTCCTAGGATATTTCAGTACCGTATCATAAGACACAGTATAGTTCAGATTCATAATAGTTTGGTAAAAGCTTTAGACCAAATCACTCAAGAATAGTTTTAGACATGTTTTTAGTCGAATATATCAATCTTTCAGAGGCTTCAATCATCATGGAATTAGTGTCCATGTTTAGATGATACTTCCATGTCTTGTCAATTACGAAACGGGCCTTATTGTCTCATACGATCGCGTATTTCCAAACAGATGCCATTATATTTACAGTTAACCGTGCCCAAACAATCAAGAACATCGGTATTTGGTATTTAGTAATAGTGACCGAGCGTTAATCGGATCAGTTGTCAGACATGTGTGCGTAAACATCAGCCAACCTTATTGTTTAGCTTTGGCCTGGAATCACAAACAATAATTAGTCGACTGGTTAGGAACCTATCATGGAACTATTATTTATTGGACTAAAACTGTTTTTAAATGAGAACAGATTTCATAGAATTAAATAATACTAGAAGCATGATTCAAAACTTGCTAATAACCAATTTGAAAGCCAGATATGTCAGATAACCTACTTCGTTTTGCAAGTACTAGAATCTCTATTCTAGGCGTAGAGAGGTGTCACCCGTAACCAGCCACCTTTTCTGGTTATATTATATTACCTAGCGTTCCTAGGTGATATCAAATAGCCATGCTAGATCTCTCTATTGACTCAAAAACTGAATGTAATTTAAAAATTGCGCTCCTAAATCAAAACTCTACCTCACCAGCATTGATTGATTGAGAGCATCGCAAATAAATGCAAAACCGGGGGCACATAATAATCGGGTGGTTCGACGAACAAAAAGCTTACTCGGCCGGATTACCGGCAAAGTTTCATTTGGGGACCCGGTCGTGGCAGAATCCGGCGCATCAGCGACCGGGCCTAATCCACCTTAAGACGGATATACCTAAAGGCGCCAGGTTTCAAATAACGTGTCCCTGCTGATTCTGTAGGTGGAAGGAATTAAGAATTGTGATAATTTTATGCGGAAGTAGTCTTTTTTACTTGCAATTAGGATATTGAAGTGTCCTTTGTTGGCTGGAATATGATATTTAAAGTTACAAAGGCCTCCCCCAAGGATTTCCACAGCGACCTGTGCTGTCGAAAACCAGGTGCTTTCCGTGACCTAACCAAACTAGGTCTTAACTTATCAATATAAAAAATAATGTTTACGAAAGCGCCAGTAATAAAGTGAATAAACTAGTTGTTTAATTAACTGGAAACAGTTAAAAAGATCTTATTTCGGATTCGGATTCAGTAGTAAAATGTTCAACTACGAGTATAACAGTCCCGAATGTCCCGAGCGATTTAATAAAAGAAAGTCTATAGTAGTTAACTGTAATTAGTGTTGGATAAGGATGAAATTATCTGAATGTATCGATACTTTTACTCGATACGGTGTAGTATGTAGAATCGATAAAATTTCCAATGCTTTTGGCTAATCATACATGACAAATAAAAACCCAAATATGATTTAAAAAGTCGGCTCTCAGCTGGCTCCCTTAAGGTTTGGTCAAACCAACGCAATCACACGCGATCAGCCGGCGCGGCGCGCAGTGATGGCGATCAGACTTAAATGCATTGATCGCCATCGCTGCACGCCGGCTGATAGCGTGTGGTCGCGTTGGTTTGGCTGAACCTTTAATAAATACTTGTACCTACTAATTTTCAAGATATTCATAATAAATCCTAGAGAGATATACAAAGTTACCCACACCTATCCATTTGTATTATTATAATTTTGACTAAATAAGACGCAAAAAAACTTTTGTATGTACGTAAAAAAATGTACTACGTCAGACCAGATAAGTAAAATCAAGGCGTAGAGGTACGCGTACCTCGGTATACTCGTATAGATTCGAATTCTTTGGATCGATACCTACTTCGAAAAGTATCGAGTTACTCCACCGTTTCAGCCCTAGATCGGGGAGTCGGCAGAAAACAAAAGTTCATTAGCTTCATTTAAATGTACGGTAGTCCGCTCGTTTGCGAACGATTTCACAATCAGAACGGTTCGGGCCACTTTTTGTTGCGGAATGGGATTGTTATGTTCTGTGTTAACGCCAATTACCATGTTCTTTACTAAAAACAGCTTTATTGTATGACCCATTTATAAAATGAAATTCTCTGTTAAACATTTGCCACGTCAGAGATTCGAACCCGCAGTTGATGCTTTTGTAGTCTGTATTGTTACTAAGGTTGCTAAGAAGGAACTAGGTAAGAAGAAGAACGCAGATTTAGACAATTTCAAAGTGATGACTGTTCTTCAAGGTCTAAATTAAGCTTTTATAAAGAAGTTGTATCTTATCTGTTGGTTAATTTTGTGAAATGTCCAATTTGACTAGCACCGATTGCAATATTAATGTCAGCAGTTGACGTCCTGTACGTACAATCCGTTCAAGTTAACTGTGCACCTGGCTGGAATGCGACTCTCCATTCTCTCTCTCCCATTCACACCTCCCCGCTTGCCCCGTCCGTACCAGAGCGTCGATATGACGTCAGGCATTCAGGTGCGCAGTTTACGTGACCGGGTTGTAGCTAGAATGATGATGTTGATAAAAATAATTAATAATAAAAAATCTACTCACATGGTCCCAGGGTCATCGCCGAGCGGTTCTTCCACGAACGACACGTGCTTTTGGCGGCGGTTCTTGGGCCGGAACTCGAGCTTGTTGGCGCAGCCCTTGTTCGCCTTGGTCCGCGCCTCGAATATCACATGTGGGTGCTTCTGCTGGAACGAACCGGAAGACGTTTTCTTATTAGTTCTGGTGTTTGTAACTTGAAATTTCTTAAAAAAGTAAGAAATGGAAATAGGGGATCGGACACCACTAGCCCATGAGGGGTATCGTTTTCATAGGACACCACTAGTCATTTAGACCTATCGTTTTCACGTGTAACAGTGGTGTAACGTGGCACCAAGGGCATACAGTGGCGCCAAGGGTGAGTGCAAATGATTGCATTATGATGGAGGAATATTGATTGTTCCATTCGCTTCAGCTTACCAGTTGGTGTCACTGTCTTAGCCACTATACCAACATAATCTACAATGTCGCCTACTGATGAGGGCCAAAACGCCGTTTGACGTTATTTCTAAATAACCAGTCAACCTAGAAAGTAGAAACTATGGGTGGTCTATTTTCAGCTTTTAGTCTTTTTTTATTGAATTCAAGAAATTATATTTGAATAGTGTCCGACCCTCCATTTCGACAGGTTTTTTTGAAAGATCACGTTCAATTTGAGCAATAGAAATTGAACGTGATCAAATCAATACACACATTAAAAGGTTTTGAAATTGTTTTTACGTTGAGATCTAAAATAAATCTATTCGAATGATATAATTCCTGAATTATACCCAAACGGTCAGTGGCGAAGGTTCCATTAATTTCATAACATCCTCCCCAATAAACTTAGTCAACAAAAACCTTTTCAGGGCCCAAAAAGATTTAATATTCCAATATTAAATAAAAGCTGAATGGGGTTACTCGTGTGTGATGTTATAGCCGTTGAGGTGTACCTACTTATTTTCGGCCGAATTTAAATTACAGACTTATGTAATGACTTATCGTGAATTCCAATTTTGAGTTCCATTGTCACGGGATTGTCCATTTTGGGGGAATATTTTTGAATAATGCTGGGGACACATTGCGAGTTTTCAAGGTTTCTTCTGTTTGTTTTTGAACCTGTATCTGGGCAAATACCTAAGTTAGATAAATTCTGATACTAGAGATAGAGAAAGAGAATAAGAAAAGGCAGTGGTTTTTTCTATGTGTGGCGATATTTCAGGCTTTGTGAGTCACCATAGCATAGGTGACTCCATGTTACGAACGGTCCTTTGCCCTTAGTATAAGACTCATATTTCTTATTGAATAAGGTTACAACAATGCAGTGCAATTAAGCTTGCAATTATGTATGCTGGATGTTAGGATATAAAGCTTTTTACAATTTCTGTGTCCTAATTGAGAAAATTAGAATCAAACCTAGCAGCCCCGGAACACGGGAGTCAATTACCACTAGAACACGGCGTTATTGATTGCCATAACGTACTTAATCGTGAGCACTACGCCTTTTTAAGCTGATAAAACAAAAGGCTAATCTTAGACGCTCTCGAGGGAGACTTAAAGCGCGGGCTAGTTACTAATGAAAGGACATCATCCATTTTGGTCCAAAATCAAAAGTGCCGGCCAAAAAATAAAAGTGCTGTATTCTGATAGAATACGTCCGCCTTAGCATTTATTACTATGGCACCAAAGCTGTAGCACCACTGTGCATCGTAGTATTTGAGCTCTAAAAATATATAAACGACTGACTTTGATCTCAACTACATACTACGATGCACAGTGGTGCTACAGCTTTGGTGTCATAGTAACAAATACTAAGGCGGACGTATTCTGTCAGAATACAGCACTTTTTTTTTATTGGCCGACATTTTTGATTTGGACAAAAAATGTATGAATCGTCGATGAATTTTAGATCTCAAATACTCGACGCACAGTGGTGCTACAGCTTTGGTGCCATAGTAACAAATGCTAAGGCGGACGTATTCTGTCAGAAGACAGCACTTTTTGTTATTGGCCGACACTTTTGATTTTGAACAAAAAATGTATGAATCGTCGATGAATTTTAGATCTCAAATACTCGACGCATAGTGGTGCTATAGCTTTGGTGCCATAGTAACAAATGCTAAGGTGGACGTATTCTGTCAGAACACAGCACTTTTTTTTTATTGGCCGACACTTTTGATTTTGAACAAAAAATGTATGAATAAATCGATGACTTTTAGATCTCAAATACTCGACGCACAGTGGAGCTACGGCTTTGGTGCCATAGTAACAAATGCTAAGGCAGACGTATTCTGTCAGAATACAGCACTTTTTTTTGTTGGCCGGCACTTTTGATTTTGGACCAAAAATATATGAAACGTGGATGATGTCCTTTGAACTTAATTTTCAGTGAGTTAGGTTTGCTTTCCGATGACAGGCGATTTGATTAGCCAGACGTTCTAGGCGACCTTCGAGACAAGGGCCGAGGCTGAGGGCTGTCGAACTGAGGTTACTCAGTTACGTAACCATACTTGACGATCAAAAGAAAACGTCTGACGCCTAAGGTCGGGCTAATACGACTTAACAAATAATCAATCAGTAGCAATGTAAACTCCTTTGTTTTGCAAGTTTAGAATGCAAACTTATTCATCGATTATTTGTGTTCAAATAGTAGGGAATAAAACTAGTAGGATGACAGAGGATGACTTCGTAAACAGACGTGCTGTTGACTGTGCCCATAAATTTATTCGCTCCTAAAGTACTATATCAAGTAGTCAATTGTACAATACATCAGACTCTACATTTCAGTTGAAAAATCGCATCTTTCACTACTAGATTTAGCTGCAAGAAATTTTCTGTACAGTGTCCAGTGTAACTAATATGTTTAGTCTGTGATATAAACGACAGCACATCAAGCCAAGTACTGTCGCAGTATGTTATTGTATTAGGTGTTATTTTGCAATGACAATGTAAAGTCCGATGTGCTTTTGACGCACATCGAGGTTTAAGTAAAATGTTTTATTAAATGTCTGTTTCCTTCAAAACAACTCATTTACTATACTTGACAAGACCTACACAATCGTGTACAAAAACCCTAAATGGGGGCTTGTGAAGTTTCCCCTTAGTAATTAGCATCTCTTTTGTTTGGCAAAATTACGAATTACAAAGTTCATATTTCTAAGGCGTCGGGCTTGAGGCGTTGTAATGACTTTTAAGTCGGATTACAAGTTGTGTTGAGTATATAGCTATTTAATTGTTCTGGTTTTGTTTGAGTGTGGCTGTTTTGTAAGGTAAATAAGTCAGTGGTAAAGCTGTGTTTGCACTCGACAACGACTGACACGCAACACGTGACTATGATTTTTTATTGCGTTGAAAACGCGTAGCTTTATGTGAATCGTGGAAAAAACCAGTACCAAACGTGATTAATTGCTGTACCTTGGTAGATTACAAAAGTCATTGTCAAATATGCACTGCACATTTTTTTATAATTCTCTTGCTATCAAACCATCGCCATCCAGTTTTATTCTTGTCAATACATAGTATGCTTTAAGTATAGTGGTAGGGTTAATACTGGGACGCGTAAAAGTGCTTTTTAAAAGCCTATTTGCAAAAATAATTGAGTTTTTTTACGTATTTCAGAGGTACGATATAACGCTTTAATTGAATTGGATTGAGCGTAGCATAAGACCTAAGTGATTGCTGACAAAAATCGCAAATATTTGCTACCCAACAAAATATTAAGAGATGTCGGAACCGACCCATTGTAGCGACTAATATAAGAGTTATATGTAGCAAGTACAGCAAAGCTGAGGACTTAAGTTTGCGGAGCCGAAGGGCTTGCGAGTTGCCCTAAATATTTGCGGTACAACAAAGTCGTTTATAACTCGCTCCGGCATCGAGAGCTCGTGAGGCTGCTCTTGAGTCGTATTTAATTTGCAAAATTATGTAACGAACGATCCTGTGTAGGTTAGCGAGTATAGAGTAGAGTAGGTAGAGTCATTCAGTCATAGAGTCAAGAGTACGCAGTACCCCGATCTACAAATTTGAATGAATTAGCGTAAAAATATAAAAGTTTCGGATATTTGTACTTATAAGGAGCTATTTTTAAACCTTCCTTTTTCCTTTATTGATTAAATATTCATGGAATCTTAACAATTTTCCTGTTTTTTAACCAACAGCTAAAAATAACGAAAAAATCCTGTCACAAAAGTTAGCAAAATTAGCTTTTGGCTCCAAAATAATAAACAGGTTCAATTTCTACTTCATTAAAGGTAGCCGTAGTATAAATTCAAAACAAGGTCTCAGTCTTTTCAACAAACAATGTAAGAATATATTTTGTCCTACAGTTGGAGTTCCCTTCTGGTTTTAAAGTAAATAAATCAACTCTATCCCAAGAACTAAACACAAGCAATAGCGGAGGGTCCATTAAATGCTGTATTGATGGACTGGGGGACACGTTGGCGGCCTGATGATCCAATAAAATAAGACTGCCCCCTTGTACGTGGAGGGAAAGCTAAGCGCTACCAACTCGGCGTCCGATATGCGGGTTGACTGGAAGGGGCTAGATTTTGCAATCCCTACACAGGGTTTAATGAACGGGTTGGTGAAACTTAAGGTTCAAAATGTAAAACAAGGCTCAAAACTCTATCAAATGCAATAAGAGATACAAGCGTGTCATTAGTCTTAGCATTGAAATCCAATTAATAACGGGCGTAAATCTAAGCTTGATTTGAACGGCAATGTAAGTGATCTTGGATTAAGCTTCTGAGCTGAAAACTGAGCAGTTTCTTCGAGTAAAAATCTGAATTTTCTTTCATTTTCTTCTTTTATTGTAAGGTGTAATTTTTATCATTTTCTAGCGGTTGATGGGGTTTGAAATATTGACGCTCAAATCGATAGTCTGACATCAACCCCGTTAGGGTAAAGTAGCATTCTTGGGATAAACTATACATTTTTTTTTGTTTTATGATTTTAAAATCTAACAAAGATTGCCCTTTCCAGATCTGGTTTTCGATCTTTGAATCCAGAGACAAGAAACAAAATTAATGGACGAAGGTATCGAGACACGGGTATCAATAATGTTGAGATACCGAATTATTATATTAGCCGTTGACTGATGTCGAGGCCTTTAATAAAGTGAAATCCTCTATCAAGTACAGCATTAAGCTAGGCTCTGTAGGGTCTTATA